TGAAGCAAACCGAGCGGCGTTGCCGCGGCCGCGGATGCCATATGCCCCAGGAGCCTCTGAAAAAGTTTCAGTGGAACCGCACTCTTGCCCTCGAACTGACGAAGGCAAGCCAGCAGTGAGTGCGCGCGCTCGTTCGTGAGCTGCGCGGACATGGCGACCGAGTCTATCTCCATGCCGAGAAAAGAGATCCTCTGCACGGGGCAAAGTTTGCTCTTTTCCCGGTTGACCCGAAGGCCCAAACGGGCTAGGTGCCGGAGCACCAAGTCTCTGTGTTCGCAAAGCTGAGCTCGAGAGTGTGCTAGTATCAGCCAGTCGTCGAGATAATTCAGGATGCGAACCCCGTGTTCGCGAAGGGGAACAAGGGCTGCCTCGACGATCTTCGTGAAGACGCGAGGGGACAGAGCTAACCCGAATGGGAGAACGGCGTACTGATATGCCTGGCCCTCGAAGGCAAACCGAAGAAACGGTCTGTGTCGAGGTAAGATGGACACATGGAAGTACGCGTCCTTCAGGTCGATCGCTGCAAACCAATCCTGATACCGAACACATTCGAAAATGCGTTTGGCCGTGAGCATCTTGAACGGTAGTCGATGGAGAGAACGGTTCAAAATGCGCAGGTCCAGGATCGGTCGTAACCCACCGGTCTTCTTGGGGACAATGAAGTAGGGGCTGTAAAACCCGGACTTCACCTCGGCTGGAGGGACCGTCTCGATTGCACCCTTCGCCAGCAGGGTCGCAATCTCCGCTCTCAGGACTGGGGCATTGCCACCGACTATCGTGGAGCGAACTCCCCTGAAGCGGGGAGGAGACCGTGCGAACTGAATCGCGTAGCCGAATCTGATCGTTCTGATGACCCAGCGGGATATCCCGGGAAGCGCTAGCCAGGCTTCCAGGAAATGAGCCAACGGGGTCATGCGAACCACAGACGTCCCCCCGGAGGGGCAGCGGTGCGGGTCGACTGGCACGCGTGCAGGAGTTACCTCGCTCGGATGCGTCGAAGCCCGCTCCCCGACAGAAGGGACCAGGGAAAGCGGAGCGTTCCACGGGGGTCCGTTCTGCCGGGGGTCTGGCGACAGAGGGGGAAGGGATTGGTGTAGCCCGGGGACGACACACGCACCTTTCCGCGCCCTCAGAGACAGAGAGGAGTGTGTGGGCTGACGCACGGGGGCATCGAGCGCACCCACTCCAGTCTGTGAGCTCAGTGAGGATGTCAAGTCTTTCTTTAACCAGTTCAGGGTGCTGCCCACCCGTGGGTGAGCAGCGGGGAGCTGAGAACAAAAGATTCTCCCCCGGCCCTCCACCGGGGGAAGGAGGGGGCCTGCTACCGCCTCCTGGGAAAGACTCGAGATCGTCACTGAGCGGCCCGTGTCAGGATCTTCGCTTGGCCTGGCGTTTAGCGGGGCGAGCGGCCTGAGGGGGCTGTGACGCCGGCCTGCGGCCTCCTCGACGCCGGGGCCCGGGTGAAGGCTGCTGCTGGGGCCGGGCGGGAGGGAGGGGAGCCGCAGGGGGGCGTCCTCGGCGGCGAGCAGAGGGAGGCACCTGCGCCGGTTACTGGGTGGAGGCAGCAGCTGGTCGCCGGGGCAGGATGTGTTTAATGGCCTCCGTCTGCTTCTGGGCGGTGGAGAACTGCTGGGCGAAGTCCTCGACCGCACCGCCGAAAAGGCCAACCTGAGAGAGCGGAGCGTCGAGCAGACGAGTCCGCTCAGCGCTCCGCGTGTCTGCCAGGTTGAGCCAGAGATGGCGCTCCTGAACCACCGAAGTGGCCATCACCTGACCGACGGTGCGAGCGGCCACTTTCGTTGCCCGGAGAGCAAGGTCAGTGGCGGACCGCAAATCCTTAAATGCCGTCGAGTCAGTCCCGCCCTCGTGCATGTCTCTGAGCATCTTCGCTTGGAAGACCTGCAAAGTGCTCATAGCATGCAGAGCGGAAGCCGCCTGTCCCGCCGCTCTATAGGATCGCGCCGCCATAGCAGACGAGAACCCACAGGCTTTGGATGGGTGCTTAGGAGGACCACGGGTGGAGGCGCTCTGTGGACACAGCTGCATCGCAACAGAGCGCTCCACCGGGGGCATCCCAGTGTACCCACGGGCGGCCCCACCGTCGAGGGGGGGAAAGGCGGGGGAGAGATCGCGCTCTCGAGTGGACAAAGGAGCCCCCCAAGAGCGCGATAACTCCACATGCAGCTCGGGGAAAAAAGGTATTGGAGTTGGCCGTGGCCTTGCGGCGGCAGCTTTGTCCAGATACCAATTATCCATCCGCGAGAGATCGGGGCAGGATGGAGGTTTCCATTCTAGCCCGATACTCCCAGCGGCTCGAGACAGCATGGCCGTCAGCTCGGGATCTGACACGGGCAACGCTGGCACTCCCGAAGGGGGCAACGCAGCCGCATCTTCCTCTCCCGAGGACTCAAGCCCGCCTAGTGATGCTGTGATAGACATCGCATCATCATCTGGAGCGCTGCTCGAAGCAGCCGGTGCCGCCGAAGAGACAACCGACCGAGTCGAGCTAGCGCTCGCTGGCTCACGCACTGAGGCGGGAGGTGTGGCCCGAGGAATCGTCGGGGCTTTATCCCACACCGTCACCGTTAGATCGCCGGGTCCCCGGGTCGACGGGCCCCCTTTCGTGAAGGAAGCCGATCGAGTAGGGGGGACCGGGGCTCTCACTCTAGTGAGATCATTGAGCCTCGACCTCAGTGTGGAGATGGTCATGCTCCCACAGAAGGAACATGAGTCATCCACGAACGCTGCTGCTGCATGCTGAATGCCCAGGCATACAAAGCAGCGTTCGTGACCATCAGATGATGACAGAAATCTACCACATCCAGAAGGGCACGGGCGAACCGTCTTTAAAAAGACGTGCCGCGTGCAGCTCTTTCACTTTCACTTTTGAGAGAAAGGAGAAATTCACTCTTTCAGCGCTGAAGCGACCAGGGAGAAGTGCAAAGTCTGGCAGACCACTGCTCAGATCGCAGGCAATGCAAAATCTCGCTGGGTACCGCCGTCACACCAACACTGAAGAGGACGCTCGTTCTCGAAGAGTCTTGAATCAGCTTTCAGGAGTGAAGAGGTTCTCTTGGCTCCGAAGCGAAAACATACTGCGGTTGCGTTCACTTCCTCCTCTTATACTCACGGAGTAGGGCGGAGTACGCTATGCAAATTTCCGCAGCCCCAAGGCATTGCATGCCATTGGCTCGTGTCTAAATACTCGAAGAGGATTGGCTTTCTATGCGAAATCCCCCAATCTCCGTCACTTCTGACGTAACTCGAAGTGACTACGAAAGGGAACTTGGGTTTTTTTTTTGGTATTTTGGAGGATTATTATGGTTTTCTGGACATTTATGGTTCATTTCTGGGGCGCAAGGACTAAGGATTCATCCATCAGGACAATACTCCTCACACATGGACTATTTGATCAAGGACTCTGGGATAAGTGTTATTTTTCTTGATTTGACTGCTGTGTTATCAATATACTTTGTTGGATAATCTGTTTATGCCTTTCTTTGTCTGATTTCAAGCATTGATGCAGTTTTTCCCCTTATTCATTCATGCCTTGTGTGTGCCCTGAACTCTTAAGTGACTTCTGGTTTACTTGAGTTGCAAGCCAATGTTCTGGAACAAAGAGGAAAATCTTTAACCCGACATTAAGATCTCAACGACACAGCATTTCACGGGCTGATCTGACACAGAGAAAGCAGTCCTGAGCTCTCGTAGCATTTCTTTATATATCCAGACCTTATTTGACATGGAAACATGAGTTTAGTGGAAATTTACTGTATTCCCCGTCCATACTCACTGGGGCAGAAGTTTGACCATCTGCTGGGAACAGTGGAAATCAGCATTCATCAATTTACACCTTTGGGAGTGCCGAGAGACACATTCCTTTGTGTGCCAGTTATTCCTAAACTCTTAAAAACATTATTACCTTTTGTTTTACTTCTTTGGGAATGAGACATCTATACCAGTCACCCTGAGACCTTTAAAATGATACTAAACAATCCTTAAAGATGATCATTCACATTAAAACCATATCGATTCTTGTGAGTGTGTGTGTGTGTGTGTGTGTGTGTGTGTGTGTGTGTGAGAGAGGTGTTCAAATGTTCATTTGTAAGCAATGTCCTTCGTCTCAGAGCTGGTGAGGTTGATATCTGATGACGAATGACGAAACGGCAGGTCGCTTTGGTTTATATACAGCGAGCCGGGACTCCATGGTTGGCAGCCGTGCTGTGATTGGTGCTTCCGCGATCGGACACGCCCAGGGGCGTTCCCATAGTGAGACACCTCACTTCCTGTTGTCAGAGAACCGGGTTACGGCAGTAATCGAACGTTTTCAGACATTTAAGGGCTTTCCCGAGAACCGATGAATAAAGCGTTTCTGAAATTAGTTTAGTTGTGTTTGTGTTCGGTTGGTGAGTTTAAAAACGGGTTTATATAAAACACGGTTTCTCCTTTTATGCAAGAGATTTAGTGTTTGTAGTCAGGGCTTGATTTATACAAAATTAAAACAACCAGTCTGTGTGTGTCTTCCCTTAATTCTCTCTCTGTGCTGATGATCCCATACAGTAACATTACAGATGAGGACGATTCATCCGCTGTTCTTCATCAGTAATGCTTACATGAGCAATAACTTTAGCTGATGCTTTCTTATCAAAGTAGCAAACTGTTGATTCAGACACTTTTCACACATGTGGATTTCTGATGAACATTTTATAATCTCGAGGAAGTCGAGGTGCACTTGTGATAAACATCAGAGAATTATCAGATAAAAGTATAAGATGGTCACCCGCATTAACACTCATTCAGCGTGAGACTCAAGCAATCGAGCCAATTCTCACGCTCTCACACCACACTCCTGATTTCTCACGCTGATGTGTCAACCCGGTCGATCAAATGCCTGAAAGATGAGTTTATCTATAGATCTACCAGATGAGCCACTCGTGATCGACTAGTTTTACCGCAAATTAGTTGAAATACCACCCCCCCCCCCCATACAGTTACTTCAGATGTTGGTGGAGATTGACTTCATGTTACTAAGAGCAGCTTCACCTCAGATCATCTGTCATTTTATTCCTGAAGCCGTTTTGAAGAGTTTGTCTTTTCATATTTGTGGACTGAAGATGTTTCGCACTGTTTTCTTCTGTCTGTGTTTCTGCCGTCTGGATGGTGAGTTTTAAATATTACTTTGGTTGTTTCTCTTCTCATGTAATAAATTACAGGTTAAATTATCCAGCGATTATTAAATGTAACTGTTATTCTCATGTAGAAATAATTGAGCTGATTTTACTGTGAGAGCAAGTTTGAATTCAGGTCTAAACTCAGTTATTAGGCAGAAAGTGGGGTCAGGACCGCCCCATCTCATGAAAGTGCGTATTTACCACAAATTACATTTCTCGTGCCATTTATAGGCTCTATATTTATTTGTTATATAAAACAGAAATAGTTTTGGCGTGTATATGATGTGCACTTTTTGCCGTGTAATACTAACACAGTCTCATGTAACAGTCTTTTGACCATACGTCAACATCCTCCTTTTTAGGGTACCCTTAAACGTCGTTTAGATGGCGATCCCGGGCCGTCACACAGCTGACGCTTTACCTTTAACATCAGTTTGGTGACGGGGTCGGTTTAGGTCTGGGGTTGGGTTAGGATCCGATAACGTCATCTAACCGACGTACCCTAAAAAGGCGGATGTTGACGTCAGTTATATGACGTCTTGGGATGACTCCACACCCCTAATCAGACCCAAGAGATTTACAGTGTGTATCACATGCACGCAAAAATCATTTTTGGTGTATAAATAGCACGAGAAATTAAATTCATGGTATAGATACGCACTTTCATGAGATCATGCAATCTGTATCAGGACATCTTTTCTCAAAATATTGCAGATTAATATAAACCCAACAGATCGCTCAGATCATTAGATCACATCAGCTAGAAACACGGAGGGTTCACTGTGAGCATGGAGAGTCTGCTTTAGCTATTATGCTGGACCAGCTTCCAGAGGAGATCAGGTGTGCTCCTACAGCATCACATTCACATCCAGGGCCCTATTTTAACGATCTGAAACGCAAGTGTCAAAGCTCATGGCGCAAGTAAGTAACTTTGTGGGCGGGTCCCGGCGCTGTTGCTATTTTCCCGGCGGGATAAATGCCTCCTGGTGCAAATCTAAAAGAGGTTGGTCTGAAGTAGCTTCATTATTCATTGGTGTGGTTTGGGCGTAACGTGAAATAAACCAATCCGAGCGTCATCCAACGTTTAAGAGCAGGTGAGCATGTTGCATGACGGATTGATATTATAACGGCGGGTTCACTGGCGCGCACCAGGAGCGTTCACAGCCGATGAGACCGACGCTCTCGTCAGGACAGTGAAAGACAGAAGTGATGTTGTATGGGGATGGAGAAACTAACGCACATCAGCTTCGCTTAAGCATTATAGCCTATACGCAGTGGCGCAAAAAGTGGGTATGCGCTGTATGCGGCGCATAGGGGCGCAGCACAATGGGGGGCGCCAAAGCGATGCTAAAAAAAAAAAAAAATTATATATAGGCTATATTGTATTTCTATATGTAGCTGCCGTTGTGCGTTTCTAAATCATTTCTGCATTCCTTCAATGTTATATAAAATTTTAGAGGACTAACAGCCAGGCTAGAGTAGGCGCCCTCATGGAGAAGGGGGGCGGGTAATATCGCGAGCGTGCGGGGGCGCCGTGAGCGCTGAGCGAGCAGGTACGAGTAGTGAGTTGTCGTCGAAAAAGATGGATAAAACAAAATGCTGTGGGGCTAAAAATAGAAAAAGAAAGAGAGAAAAGGAGATGGCATGTCAATTGATGCGACAGCAGCTAAATAACTGCATGCATTGCTGAAAGCCAACAGGTAGGATTTAAAATGTGACATCCAGGCATGTAGGCTATCTATATCTCGGTGGCCATCGGGACTACCGGGAGATTCCCGCTGGGCCGACTTGCTTTTCAGCCAATACATTTCATCCTTTTTTAATTTATTTGTCTTAACGGCCCACAAAACTCATACATCGGCGGCCCATTTGTTTGTTGTTTGTTTTTTGCTTAATTGGCGGCGCTGTGCTGGTGTAATGCATTGGTCAAAAAAAGTCAGCTTTAGTTTTTTTTTTTCTGACACACTGGCCCATGAAATATGTCATTATGCGCAAGTATCTTTCAAGTATAGAAATTAGTGCAAAACTAATTATGAAAGTTTCCTTTATTTTTCTGTGCATTTGTTTTACAATAGCCTTTATGGCTATTACTATCATGGGATTAATATTATAACTATTATTATGTAGTAGTGTAATGTAGACAGACAATAACTAAAAGAGGTTAAAATTTTTCTCTGTTTAATTTGCACCCTGAGGGGGGGGGGGTCATCAAGGTGGAGTAGCTATAGTATAATTGTGTTAATAAACGACAATTTTGCACTTATTTTTTTTTCTGTAGCTCTCATTTCTTCCTACTCACTTATTACACGGCACACTTACATTACATTTATTTTTTTATTTTACTTTTTTTTTTTTGGGGTGGGGGGCGCTAAAATTGTTGCTGCATACCCCTCTGAAACTGGGTAGTTGCGCCCCTGCCTATACGTATGTTTCTTGCCACTATTGGGCAAACAGGTCTGATCCTTCAGTACTACATTTAGCCTTAAAAAATGGGTAGTTCAGTTTTTTCATCTTCATGTAAACAAACCACAATGATTTCCCTCATGTGTTAATATTTTTCCTTGTTATAATGTATGATTTGCAAAAATAAAAACTGCTGCATCTGTGTTGATGAGAGAATCAGTGTATGCGCGTTGTGTACCGGCTACATTATGGCCAAGCATGTGCGCTTAAAATAGCGTTATGAACAACGCGCAACGCGCCACTGACTTTAGACCAGGTTTTTTTCTGGTCAGGGGCGCAATTGTTTTCTTGAAGTGTAAAACAGCACCAGGGAATGTTTGCGCCGAAACACGCCTCCTTTTAGCGCCGATCCGCCCAGGGAGCGCAAGTTCATTCCCTAGTTTACCGACGTGCGTCTGTGGAGGGAAAATCCCGCTTTCCGCGCGTGCAAAATAGGAATGAGACATGCGTTTGTGTATAAAGTCATTTGCGCCGGGTGCAAGATAGGGCCCCCAGACTCAAAACACTTCTGTTCAGCTGTGCATTTACTGAATGAGCACTGTGACACTGTTCGGCCCACTGTTCAGGCCGGCAGTGGCTCAGTGGTTCATGTGGGTTGTCTACAAACCGAAAGTTTGGTGGTTCAACTGACCAAGTGTCGAGGTGTCCGTGAGCAAGACACCTAACCCCAGCTGCTGCCGATGAGCTGGATGGCCCTTGCATGGCTGACACCGCCGTCAGTGTGTGAATGAGTGAATGTGAGGCAATATGTAAAGCGCTTTGGTGGCCATTAGGTCTATGAAAGCGCTATATAAATGCAGTCCATTTACCATTACTGTACTTCATTTTTTTTATTCTAAACTGTTTTAATTATTCTGATTTCTTTTGATTATTTTAATTTCTTCTATGTAAAGCGCTTTGAATTACCATTGTGTATGAAATGTGCTATATAAATAAACTTGCCTTGCCTAAGATATATGGATATAATAGTTTGCACACGCTGTGCTTCTTCTGTGTGTTTATTTGATTTTGTAAATGTTAGTTAATCCACAATAACGTTTAAGAAATCAACTAAAGACAGAAAAGAAGCACAGCATGAGTTTATACAGCAACAGTCAATTCAACCTAGAACTTGTTAAAACATTAAAGATAAAGTGTCTTTTTAGTTTTTGTTCCATATATAAATCTATTTCTATTATTTAATTTTCCATCTTTTGTCTTTGTGTTGCCGAAGAATATTATTAATATCACATTTAAATGAATTAAAATTATTCTAGTGAAGCTTCATCAAACCAACATCAAGTGATTTAAAGCTTTGTGGAAAACTCTGTTCTTCAGGTGTGTTTGGTCGTGAATATGAAGTGAAGTTTATGATGAAGGGAGAATCACTCACTCTAAACTCTGATCTCACTGAAATAAAGGATGATGATGTGATTCAGTGGAGGTTTGAAGGTTATAATGATAAGACTGAAACTTTAATCGCTGAAATCAATGTAACGGCCGACAGAATCGCTGTATATGATGATGATCTTGATGGGAGATTCAGAGACAGACTGAAGCTGAACAAACACACTGGATCTCTGACCATCATAAACATCACTGAAGAGATTGGATATTATTCTCTACAGATCAACGGTGTGAGAAAGAGAACGATCTATATTAGTCGCTATGGTGAGGCTAAACACATTTGTTTCACCTGTTTTTAATGACAACATTTAAATTAATTCATTCACCATTTTGATTCTTTTTGTTTGTTTTATGATATTATTTCAAACTGACATTTTAAACTATTTAGTAAAACATTATTAAGTGATTTCACATTATTAATTTGACAAACCCTGTTTGTGTTTGTTCTGTGTGTGTTTCTGATATCAGGATCAGGGAATCTGAGGTCAGCGAAGAAGGAAGAATCATTCACTATAAACTCTGGTCTCACTAAAATAAAGGATGATCATGTGATTCAGTGGAGGTTTGGATATGAGACTGAAACTTTAATCGCTGAAATCAATGTAACGGCCGACAGAATCGCTGTATATGATGATGTTCTTGATGGGAGATTCAGAGACAGACTGAAGCTGAACAATCACACTGGATCTCTGACCATCACAAACATCACAACTGAACAAGCTGGAGATTATAGACAATATATTGGAAAAAATGAATATATGTGGAGTTCAGTCACTCATTTCCTTCTCACTGTCTTTGGTAGATTAAATATTTATTTTTTCATTTTATTTTTTAATCAAACAAAACAAAATGAATCTAAACACCATTTTGTTTCTTTTCTGTTTTTGTTTTATGAAATTGTTCATTTGAAATATGAATATCAATATCTCTGCTAACTCTGTTTCTGTTTGTTGATCCAGTTGAAATATCAGTGATGGAGGGAGAATCACTCACTATAAACTCTGATCTCACTGAAATAAAGCGTTATGATTGGATTCGGTGGATATTTGGAGATGAAAACATTTTAATCGCTGAAATTGATGTAATGTACGACAGAATCGCTGTATATGATGATTATCTCGGGAGATTCAGAGACAGACTGAAGCTGAACAAACAAACTAGATCTCTGACCATCACAAACATCACAACTGAACATGCTGGAGATTATAAACTGCAGATCAACAGTGTGAGTGGATATTACAGTTTCTCATTAAAAGCTTTCAGAGTTTCAGTCTATGGTGAGTAGAGATCATTTCTCCTGTCCTTCAAACACTCTTGTTTTTAACCAATTATTTACATATTTATTAATTGTTGAATCGTTTTATAGTTTGAGATGATGGATCATACACTGATTGAACTGAAAGAAGATTGTTGATTAGATTAGATGATCTTTTCTCTCTGATGTTTTCCAGCTCGTCTGCCTGTTCCTGTCATCAGCAGAGACTGTTCTTCATCTTCATCTTCATCTTCATGTTCATTGGTGTGTTCAGCTGTGAATGTGAGTCATGTGACTCTCTCCTGGTATAAAGGAACCAGTTTATTGTCCAACATCAGTGTGTCTGATCTCAACATGAGTCTCTCTCTGCCTCTGGATGTGGAATATGAGGATAAAAACACCTACATCTGTGTGCTGAACAATCCCATCAGCAACCAGACTCAACATCTCCACATCCCTCAACTCTGTCACACATGTTCAGGTATGGCTGATATTAGCTGACGTCAGCGCTGATATTAGCGTTTATGAACTGATCTGATCTCAGTTTGATGCTTTTACTCCTCAGACTCTGTCCACTGCTGTGGTCCTACTGAAGCTGTGATCCGATTGGTCCTCTCTGCTCTGGTGGGCGTGGCTACTGTCATTCTTGTGGTTTATGAAATCAGATCCAGAAGAGCTGAACGAGATCAAGCTCATATTCACACATCAGAAACCTAATGTGTCATTTATCAGATTACTATTTTGTGTCATTTATTAATCTTCATATATGTGTAATGGCTTTATATGCTGGCTGTTACGACCCCAGTCTGGGTCATATTATGTCGTTTTGGTTGTTCTTTTCATTTGATTTGTAGGTCGGAGTTGGAGTGAGTGACGTCATGATGGACTGATGGTGTTCACCTGTGTTAAGAGCTGATGCCGGCAAATAAAAGCGCTCCCTTCAGTCGTGACGGGCGCGCTCTCCCCTCGTGCCATTATTTTGTTGCTTTTGTTATTGTCTTGTTCTTATTTTTACTTTAATAAATGTTATTCCTTTTTCATTAAATCTTACCTGTCATTCCCTTCTTTGTCGCGGCTTGTGAGCCGGCCGTGACAAATGGGGGCTCGTCCGCTTGTTTGTTAAACCTTTGAAATTTCCTGTTATTTGTCGACCTGATTTGGAAAGCGTTTTTGTTGCGTTCGGTTATTTTGTAATGAACTTGGCACGTTCATTAACTGAACGAAAAAAAAAAAAACCGGAAGAATGTTTGTTTGAACGCTTATGTTTGGGAGGTCGCATTCGTCGTTTGAAGGGAAATGCGCGTTGGATTTATTTGTTTTGAGGACATGTGTTGCTGTATCAGTTAGCTGTTCTGTGCTGTCTCTAAAGAGGTAAGTGATTTTACTAATCTTATTGTGGTGAGAATATTGTTGAAGTTCCCTTGGTTAGGTGTAGCTGCTTGGTCCCTTTTGGAACAAGTGGGTAATGTAATTTTTTTATTTTTGTGTGGTGACCGTGAGTAGAGCAGTTGTCTCGGGAGCATGTCCGTGGTATGAGATAGTCGCCAGCGTGCTGGTTGCTTTTCTTGTACCAGCGGTAGTTGGTGCTTAAATACCCCTCGCCAGTAACCACACGAAGATTAGGGGTGAGTTAGTTAGTTGTTTTTTCCTATAGATAGGGAAGGGGAACGTTTTATTCTTACCACGTGAGGTTTGTGAATCACATTATTAATGGTAAAGTAATGTCTACCCTTGTAGAAGATTTTATTAATTCTCCCTCTGTAGCATTACTTGAGTCGTTTTCAAAAGATCAGTTGTTTAGCATTGCGGATCATTATGAAATCGAGCTTGTAGATAAAAGATTAAAAGAGAGTACAATTAGAGAAACAGTTAAAACAAAATTGATAGAACAAGCTATATTGATTGAAATGGCTGATACAGCTACTAGTCAAACTAAACCACCCGTTGGCTCGTTAACTTTTGAACAACAGGAAAGGTTATTGCTGTTACAGCTTGAAATGGAGCGTGAGAGGAATAAAACTAAACAGACAGATTTACAGCTGCAGAAATACCGTTTGGATATTATGAGAGAAGACCGAAATGGAGATGGTTCAGAAGATGATTTTCAGGGAGCTTCTAGACTATTTGACGTTGCAGGAAATTTGCGTTTGATGCCTAAGTTTTGTGAGCGAGATCCGGATACATTTTTTACCTTGTTTGAACGAATTGCGGACGCGAGAGGTTGGCCCAGTAAGGAACGTACACTGCTCTTACAGTGCGTGTTTACTGGTAGGGCTCAGGAAGTGTATTCATCTCTTCCAGTCTCAGACTGTAACGATTATGACCTCGTTAAAGCAGCAGTTTTGAAATCGTACGAGTTAGTACCAGAAGCGTACAGACAAAAATTTAGAACATTGTCCAGAGGTGTTAATGTTGCTCATGTTGAGTTTGCTAGAGAGCTCAGTGCTGCATTTAATCGCTGGTGTATGGCATCTGAGGTAACCACATTTGAGGAGTTGACTGACTTAATCGTGCTAGAACAGTTTAAGAATTCTGTACCTGCTCGAATTGCGACTTATATAAATGAGCAGAAAGCAGACACAGCTGCTAAAGCTGCTGAATTAGCTGATGATTATGTGTTAACACACAAGAGTTTTGAGTTTCAGAGAAGGGATGAATTTTTTGAAGATAAAGGAGTTTGTATGTCTAGAAATTCATCTCTTATCTGTAATTACTGCCATGGTAAAGGCCACTGGAAGAGTGAGTGTCCTGTGCTTAAAGCCAAGAGTAAAGGGGGAAAATTTCCTCGCGTTAAACCAGCTGCTCTTGTGGCACCAGTCTTGAGTCCTGTTAAATCAGTGTGTGAAGGATTTCACAAACGAGCTAACCTTTTAGAAGATGGTGATTATGCGTCTTTTATCACCTATGGACATGTGTCGATGATTGGTACAGAGAAAAAAATTCCAGTAACAATATTGAGAGATACGGGAGCTTCAGAATCTTTTATATTGAAGGATGTGTTGCCATTTTCATTTTCGAGTGACACTGGTACTAGTATTCTTGTCCGAGGAATTGGGTTGGATGTGGTGTCTGTTCCTTTACACAGAGTAATGTTGTCATCTGAGCTTGTGAGTGGTGAAGTGGTGATTGGAGTACGTCCGTCACTGCCTGTGGATGGGGTGGATATAATCATGGGAAATAATTTGGCAGGGGGAAGGGTATGGCCTGATGCATTTTCACCTCCTGTGGTTTTATCTGTTCCTCTTCCAGGTCCTGACGAGAGTCACAAGAATTATCCGGAAGTGTTTACTGCATGTGCAGTAACTCGTTCCATGACCTCTGCACAGCCAAGGGTAACTCTTGATTCTGCTGTAGTAAAACCATTCTCCTTGCCTGATGACTTTTCTGTTTCTCCTTCTGAGTTGCTCCAGGAACAGCAACTTGATTCTTCTCTCCATCAACTGTTTGAGAATGTGATGTCTTCTGATGACATTAGAAATGTTGCTCATGGGTATTTTTTGAAGGATGGCATATTGGTGAGAAAATGGATTCCTCATGGTAGAGATTTTGCTGGAGATCCTGTCATGCAGGTGGTAGTTCCAGAGAAGTATCGTTCACTGGTTCTACAGATCTCCCATGATAAACTTGCAGGTCACTTAGGGGTAAAAAAGACCTATCACAGAATCCTTCAAAATTTCTTTTGGCCAAAATTGAAGAAGGATGTGTCCCAGTATATAAAGACATGTCATACTTGTCAATTAACAGGTAAACCAAATCAGAAGATCAAACCTGCTCCATTGTATCCTATTCCTGCGGTCAGTCCGCCGTTTGAGCACCTAATTATTGATTGTGTAGGCCCACTACCTAGATCAAAGTCGGGTTGCATTTATTTGCTCACGGTGATGTGTGCCTCTACGCGCTACCCTGCAGCATATCCTCTTCGTACAATAACTGCTAAGTCAGTGGTCAAGGCTTTGACTCAGTTCATTTCCATTTTTGGCATACCGAAGATTGTGCAAAGTGATCAAGGTTCTAACTTCACTTCTCACTTGTTTTCTCAGATCTTGAAATTGCTGCACATTAAGCACAATAAGGCTAGTGCTTATCATGCTCAAAGCCAGGGGGCTTTGGAGCGGTTCCATCAAACGCTGAAGTCTTTATTGCGTTCACATTGTACAGAGATGGAAGGTGATTGGGAACAAGGATTGCCGTGGTTGATGTTATCAGCTCGTGAGGTATGTCAGGAGAGTACTGGGTTTAGTCCCAATGATTTGGTGTTTGGGCACACAGTTCGGGGTCCGCTGGCTGTACTCAGAGACCAGTGGGTTGAAAGTGCACCACCAAAAAACTTGATAAGTTATGTGAATGACTTTAAGCGTAGATTATATGAAGCAGGTAAGGTGGCAAAGGAACAATTGCAGTGTTCGCAAAAGCGTATGAAGACTATTTTTGATCGACGAACTGAGGAACGGAAGTTCATGCCTGGCGATCAGGTTTTGGCGCTTTTGCCTGTTGAGGGCTCTCCTTTTCAAGCTCAGTTTACAGGTCCCTATGTGGTAGAAAAACAAGTTACTGACTTAAACTATCTGATTGCCACTCCAGAGAGACGAAAGTCCACCCAGTTGTGCCATGTTAATTTGTTGAAGCCCTATTATTCACGTTCTCACAAGATGTTGGTCGATGAGGTGAAACCTGCATTAGTAGTTGAGAGAATTTCACTTGTGGGGGAGGAAATGGATGAGGGAGTTTCTTTTCCAGATGATACCGTGCTATTGGGACGTTTAAAAAATTCAGATACTCTTAAAAATGTGTGTAAAGTGCTGGCCCATTTGCCTGAGGATAAGTCTAGTGATTTGATTGATCTTATTAATCATCATGTTTCCTTATTTGGTGATGTACCTTCGCGCACACATTGGTTGGAGCACGATATTGATGTTGGGGATTCGAAACCTATTCGCCAGAATTTTTATCGGGTGTCTCCAAATAAACTCTTGCATTTTAATGCTGAAGTTAAATATATGCTGGATCATGATATTGCACGACCTTCATTCTCTAGTTGGGCATCTCCCTGCTTGCTTGTCAATAAACCTGATGGTACTTATCGGTTTTGCACCGACTACCGAAAAATAAATAGAGTAACAAAACCAGACTCCTTTCCACTGCCTCGTATTGAGGATTGTGTTGACCGGGTTGGCTCGGCGAAATTTGTAAGCAAGTTCGACCTGCTTAAAGGCTATTGGCAAGTTCCACTGACCAAAAGAGCTCAAGAGATTTCCACTTTTATTACATCAGAGGGGTTATTCTCTTATAATGTTTTGAGTTTTGGCCTTAGAAATGCGCCTGCAACCTTTCAGCGGTTGATGAATCGGGTTGTGTCTGGGTTAGAGGGAGTGGCCGTCTATCTGGACGATGTAATAGTTTTCAGTGATTCATGGGAGCAGCACTTGAAGCATATCATAGCCCTGTTCTCTCGTTTTGAAGAGGCTGGCCTGACCGTCAATCTGGCGAAGTGCGAGTTTGCCAAGGGGACGGTGACTTACTTGGGTAAGGTAGTTGGACAGGGATGTGTGCGACCAGTTCGGGCCAAGGTTGAGGCCATTGATCGTTTTCCTTCTCCTACTACTAAGAAGGAGTTGATGCGGTTTTTGGGGTTAGTAGGCTACTATCGGGGATTTTGCAGGAATTTTTCTACCGTGGTAGCCCCCCTCACTGATTTGTTGAAAGCTAAAGTACCTTTTGTTTGGACATCTACCTGTCAGGAAGCTTTTGAGGCAGCTAAATCACTTCTTACGTCTTCTCCTGTGTT